CATCTCACTCACATGTCGGGGCTTCACTGACGCTATCAAATTTAACTATTATTGTAGCGCAATTAATCATGATGTGTTAATCATAGACATTACCACCTTTCTCTGAAGTGTGTCCACATCGTTATAACCATTACCTTACAGTGGGGAAATTAGTTATCAGCCCCTGTGAAAGGTGTCCCAACTCAATCACACACTCAGAACCTACGTTGTACTCAACAACAGTCGTGTATGGTCATGTTATGGGAAATCATATCTGGTCGTGCTTGTGTAGTTCATGTAGGTAACAAAAACACGAATTCATAGCATTACCAGTTGTCTCAATACTAACTGTCGTGCCTTTAATCATATTATTAGATCATGCAATTGCTTTCATAGTGTAATCATTTATTTACTTGTTTTCAGCTGAGAGGGACCATGGCGGCAAACACCTCAAACATCTCACTCACCACGTATCGTTATTGTGGCAATGAAAGTCACTGCATTCACGCCGTCTACAACCTCGCCAACTCCAGATACTCCGAAACGGTCGTCTTCGTGGCGATGTTCATGACTGCGTTGATGGTAGTAGGAACGCTTGGCAACGCCCTTGTCGTCGTCGTGTACGCTGTCAAGAGAACAAAAACGTCCGCCAATTACGCTTTCATGATCCTCGGTGGCCTTGACCTCTTTGCATGTATTTTCATCCACCCTTACGTCATTTATAAGATCGTTCACCGTTTCAACCAAACCTGGGTAATAGTCTGTAAAACGTTTGAATTCCTGATTCATTCTAACCTGTCAATTTCAAGTGGATTCCTGATGGTTGTTGCCTTTGATAGGTACTTCTCTATTTGTCACCCCCTTCAATTCTACATGTCCTATCAGCGGATCAGGATCATGACTGCCGTAACTTTTACGGTTGGAATAGGATTCAGTGTCCCAATACTGGAGTTCTATGGCAAGAGGAAAATTCCCATACCAGGCTATGAAAACTCTGACGTTGTTGGTTATGGCTGTGACTACAGTGATGCATATACCAAATCATTGGGGCAATCTATATTCGGCGGTGTCACAATGATTACATTTTGTATTATAGTGATACTGATTGTAGTGCTATACAGCAAGGTTGGGCTAATAATCTACAAGCGCAAAAGGCAGGTGAGTACGGGCGGAGACACAACAGGTGCCCCCAAAGTGTCTGAAGACCATAAAAGGATCGATAGTGGAAGCAGTATGTATTTGGTTCCTGTTATTAAATCTTCGGTTGACACGAACTGTAGCATCGCCATCCAACCAGTTAAGGTCAACGTCATTGACACCAGATCACCTTATACTGCTGCATCAACCCCATCGACGTCATTAAGTAAGCCTCAAATCGCTGACGTGCCTTCTGTCAACAACGCCAACGCTTCAAACACTACCATTAATAAGAAAATCCTCCCCTCCACAGCCGAAACATCTGCTTTGAAAGCGCCCAAACTTTTTGTTTTTGTGACAGCGGTGTTCCTCTTCTCCTGGCTACCCTTCTGGATTCTCAAACTGAGAGACATAGCCCATCCAGGGTTATTGTCAAAGGACACTCGATTGCAAATTATATGGAACTGTTTTCTAAACCACCTTTTCTACATCAACAACGCCGCAAACCCATTCATATATGTCATCGCTAACAAATCATTTCGACATGATTGCAGGCAGCTGTTTAAACGCTATTGCCGCCCCTGTCACCGGATCTGATCATCAACATGTTGTTATGTGATGATAATGTTCAATTTGTGTTAGTCGTCATCTACTGTACAGTAACATTGTAATAAATTTTGTGTAATAAACAAATAATTATGAAATGGTTGCTCTTGTTGTAGTTGATACCTCGAACACGTGCAGATTGTTATAAGATCATCTGGAAAATTCTTAGGCGAAAATTAACTCACTATTTCTTCATCGAACACTTATCTTATTTTCGGTAAAGAAAATGTTCTGGTGCTTTTCTCATCAGCCCAAAGTTAAGGTTAGTACGATAGTTACTTGAATTACCTACATGTGTACTTTGTTTATCATTAGCTGTCAAAATGTTTGTAGATACCTCTAATAGAGTTTGATAAAGATTAGCAGGAGGGTAAAACCCCTGAAATCCATGCTCAGTGATACCTGATCATTGATGCTATTGATAACTGAGTAGATGATATTGAAATCTTTCATGCATCAATTTAATATGTTACTTCTTTTAAAAAAACTTTTTAAAAAAACCTTCGTGTGAAAGATTCTCAGTTTACCAAACAGAAAATCGATAATCGATGTACCGTTTCTGTCAGGTTAGTCAGTATATATCAGTGTTGTTCTCACAAGTTCTAACACGCACGCAACATAATCAAGTGTGTATTCTTTTGGCTTCCAAAACTTCACTTTAACTTCATAACTTAAATTGACATTGAGTGAGCACTTTTCCGATGAAAATTATAGATTTGTCTTTTTCTTGAATTGGACATATACGTAATCATGTACGCTGCTGGGGAACGTTGACACAGCATTGTCCAGATCACCAAATTGTTATTAGTCTGCACACGGCAAGCATGGGGTAGACAGGATCCCGTGCTCTTCATTCCAAAGGGGCTTGCACGGGACACGCTAAAGATGAAACTAACCAACGAAATCACGGGGCCTTGGAAACAATAGAATACCTTGAACTTTTAAAAATGTTTTGAATAGGCGTGTTATCTTCATTGCTCAAATTTAGAATAAAATTGGTGTGAACAGTCGATTATTTTTCGCCGTCGTGTCATTGAACTGATGTCGTAACTTCAAGTAATGTAAGCAAGCAGTCTTCAAAGTATCTCGGGGCGTCACAGAGAGGTTGCTTTTTTCCGACGACCGCGTGTCTCCTATAGAAGCCTTGGCAAAATTATGTGTTTCCCCCCCCCCCCCCCCCCCAAGGTATCGCTAGACCGCTTACGGGTCGTCTTGCTACTGGGGTGAGTGAATTACAATTTATCGTCGCATCGGCATTATTTCAGCACGTAGCGACGAGAACAAGTTGATATATATACAATTGAGTCATGAATACAAAGTTATATTTAAGAACAAAGTCTTGCTACTGGTTTGGTCAGATCGAAACTTAGGTTTCGTTGGTAAGTGGTTATATTATGGGGCAGTTTTAATCTAGTACTGACTTACTCTGGATGTAGTGAGCTATACTTCCGCACACAGTTTTGAAGTAATATTTAGATAACCAACTTTCCCGCGATCGCCTAGTGTAGGTCAAGTACCTATTTACGATTGGAAGTCAAGTTACTCTTTTGGTCTAGTACCATTGTAATGATTGTGAGTCTTGATACTCTTTAGGTCAACTACATGTACCTTGTATTTTTGGGGAAGTTTAGAATTTCCTTGCCCAGTCAAGTGACTGGGAGACCAGTTTGCTATGCAGGCGTTTTTCGTATATTTTATAAGCCCATTTCTGGTGTCCCCCGCCGTGATATTGCTGGAATATTGCTAAAACCATACTCACTCACTCACTTATACTTGTACCATTTTAAAGATTGTGAGTCTTGATACTCTTTAGGTCAACTACATGTACCTTGTATTTTTGGGGAAGTTAAGAATTTCCTTGCCCAGTCAAGTGGCTGAGTCTTTAGTCTGTGAGACCAGTTTGCTATGCAGGCGTTTTTCGTATATTTTATTGTCCAAGAGACTTATTTTGGGGATAGGCCCCCGGTGTTTATTTCCACTTGGTTAACCCAGCCCAGATTATTTACTCATTAGAGTGCTGAGTTTATTAACTCACATGTGTTAATTGGTCGCAGCCGACTTAATAGGCTGTCTATGCATCTCGCTAATTATCTTGTCAAAGTGTTGATGATACTACTCTCTTTATTTACTGTTATACAGTTGCTTAGCTAACCAGCTTGTGATTATGTTCTGGTTTGATCAGTGATCGTTGTCAATGTAAATTGGGCTTTTGATACTTTTTATTGTCAGCTATGTTTATATCAGGCTGATAGTAATAAACCTGTGAACCTATTACCACGTTTGTATTATTACTTTATACTTGTTGAGGGGCGGTCGGCTAGCCTAGTGGTTAAAGCGTTCGCTCGTCACGCCGAAGACCTGGGTTCGATTCCCGACATAGGTACAATGTGTGAAGCCCATTTCTGGTGTCCCCCGCCGTGATATTGCTGGAATATTGCTAAAACCATACTCACTCACTCACTTGTTTAACTTACTTGTTTAATGACACAGAACAGCTCCGTGACACAAAGTCTGTATTCGAAAACACGTTATTCGTAGGTACTAAATTACTACGAATAGCTTGTTTGATAGGCATAACTTAGAAAATGACGGTTGACAAGGTAGACACAATTTTATGAATAACAACTTCTTTAATACTGTAAAAGGCGGTATATGGATCTCTACCGAAACGTCGCTTTTTACAGTATTAAAGAAGTTATCCATGAAATTGCGTCTACCTTGTACTACGAATAGGTTTCACTTTATGTTAAAAGAAAACTGCATGTACACTCATTTACATATATCCTAAAATGGAAAATGACAACAAAATAACATTTTGGTATATGTTCAGTCAAATATTAATCGAAACGACATTGGGATATGCATGCACAAGTTCAGTTTATCTTGCCAGTCTGCTTTAATCAATCAATATATTAAGATGACTTCAATAGCGCTAGTCGATGTCATGGAAAGTTGTGTTTTTCATGTTTGCGCTTGACACGATATCCGTGTTAAGTGAAACCTGGCTACCTCGAAGTCATGGAGCCTCTTGAGAACATATCGAGTTAGCCATAGCGAAGGCCTCATGTGAGGAACTTAAAAAGGGCCTTCAATAAATATACCGATAACTGGAACTTGGAGGTCTCAACTGTGGACGCGAATGAAGCTGTGCTCACAGAAGTCATTGCTTCGTTTCCACAAATGGGTATTTCATGCATATATGTGAAGCTGTGTTCATCAATTTGTAATGAGGAGGATTTCGTCAATCACCTTTCTAAAGTTATCTCTCTTTTGTGCAGGATCAGCAGCCTGTTTGCAGGACGACCTTGACCTATCAGAGTAGTGGTTTAACGGTGAAGAGGACATGTGACGGGTACAGAGCATGCCTGAGACAAGAGGGCACGAACAAGGAAAGCTGTGTACTGGAAAACGTGTTACAAAAAAGAATGACGTGTAATTATTGTTGCTTAGGACCCTTGTGTAAAGATGATGCTTATGGAGGTAAGTTAACTAATTGTTAATAATGACTGCAGTTACCATGATCAACATTTGAGCAAGAGTCGAATGACGTTCTACGAAAGTTTCGAAGAAAGAGCATACACGATTGCAGCTCAAAACCTATGAAATGCAGGCACCAACGTAAAACCAAATGTAAAACAGGTTAACTCTTTGGAGGTAAGTTAATTAATTGTTAATAATAATAATAATTAATAATAAACCTTTGGCGTATTTACAATTGTTGTCACCTTTGTGTCATGAAGTTAAAAGAGTTAACCTGTTTTACATTTGGTTTTACGTTGGTGCCTGCATTTCATAGGTTTTGAGCTGCAATCGTGTATGCTCTTTCTTCGAAACTTTCGTAGAACGTCATTCGACTCTTGCTCAAATGTTGATCATGGTAACTGCAGTCAAGTCCTTCTACACTTTATGGTAAAGAAATTTTCAATTAAAATGACAATAATTATGTTGAATGCAATTCTCTATTTTGAGTTGTTGACTTGACTTTGCATGTGTTTTGAGCTCGGGTCGTTACAAAGAAAAACAACTCGTTGAAACAATTGGCATAAGGCACTCGAGTGGTATTATTTCAAGTACAGACCCCCGAGATGTAGCATAAATAAAGTTAACAACATTTACTCACTCGAAGATAAACTGTAACTCTCTGTAACACCGAGAAGCGATTCGTATATTTCTAGTACAGTACAGTACTCAGCAATATTCCAGCTATATGACGGTGGTCAGTAAATAATCGAGTCTGGACCAGACAATCCACTGATTGACATCACGGGCATCGATCTACGTAATTGAGATACGATGACATGCATAAACCAAGTCAGCGAGCCTGACCACCCGATCCCGTTAGTCGCCTATTACGACAAGCATAGTCGCTTCTTAAGACAGGCATGGGTTGCTGAAGACCGATTCTTACCCGGATCTTCACGGGTTTAATAAAAGTCCGATATGACGCCCATCCAACTGTTAGACTGTTTGATGTAGTAATGTTTTGAGGGTCAATTGATATATACCGTTATATACTGGTAGCGTTTCCATTACTTTCTGTTAAATGAGTGGTGGTCGGGTAGCCCAGTGATTAATCGTTCACTCGTCCCGCCGAAGACACAGGTTCGATTCCCTACATGCAGTGTGTGAAGCCTATTTCGGATGTCTACCGCCATGGTATTGCTGGAATATATTGCTACAAACGGCGTATAGCCATACTCACTCACTTTTGTAAATGATATGTAAACATACCACGTCAACGCCAGAGAACAATAGTACCGTCATTCTGCCGAAACAGATTCCATTGTGTGAAGAAGGCAAAATAGTCGGTGCCAAACATATAACTGGAACTCTTTTATATCTCTTAGCATATAAATTGACCCGCTAGCGACGTAGTTTGAATCAAAACACGTTCCGAGAATGTTCCAATTATAATCACTGTCGTATTGTACCTGAATACCAGATGGGAAAGCAATGGTGACGCAGGCATCTAGCCATGTTTCCCGCCTTAAAGCACACCCTCGGCACATTCCAAAGCGCTACTGTCCTGTATTATTCGTACCAAGTCAATGTTTCCTGCTATACAATGAAGTCCTTCACACTAGGTCTATTGAAACATGATTATTTCCGCTCGAAAAGTAACACTTTGCCTGTTTTATTACAGGTCGTTTGAAGGGGTATACCTTCTACCTCAAGTTCTCAACCTCTGGTGCCACCTACACCTCTGAATTTGGGGACACAAATTCAAAGACCTACCGTGATATGGTACAGCGTTTGACAGAGGCGGTGAGTCTAAATTTGTAGCAACACGCGGTCTATAGTCTCCATTACTTACACTCAAATTATGTTTACGGAACATTTGTGTTGAAGACCAGATTAATCTTTTTTCTTGTCTGTTCATTTTCTTGGATTCATTCGTTGCAATGTTCCGTTACAGGCTTTAGTTTTTTACGTCTCTAAAATCTATACGTGTCGTCTTGCTACAGGCGACTTAAACTAGACCTGAGATGCGGCTACATCAATTTGGCTTCCACTGTGGGCATCAACGGGTGGCTTCCGTCGAAGCACTATCAGAGCACGTGCTTTCCAGTAGATGTGTTACGTTGCTAGTGGCTTCGTATTTGGGTTACTAGGGGACAGGTGGCTTCCAAATTACTTTTGTTTGTTTGCATTTTTGTTGTTTAACGCCGCACTCAGCAATATTACAGGTATATGGCTGTAAATAATCGAGTATGGACCAATGGCGACTGCCATCATGCGGATCGATCTATACAACTGGGATACGTTGACATGCCTCAACTAAGTTAGCGAGCCTGACCACCCGATCCCGTTAGTCGCCTCGTGAGACAAGCATAGTCGCCTCCAACGGGAAGCATGGGTTGCTGAAGACCTATTCTAACCTGGATCTTCACGGGTCCAATTGGGATACTGGGAGGGTAGTGGCATTTGGTGCTCTCTCACTGTGAAACATACTTGTATGTCAGTTTATCTGACTGTTCCTTTTATCGTTAACAGGTGAATGAGGCGCTGGATAATCTGGGCGTTTTCGAACTGTCTGAAATCAGTTTCAGGTAAAATTTAAAATAATAAAAAACTTCAAAATTTGTGGTTATGGTCACGTTACTATTGTGAAAAAGCCAACGATATTACATGAAGGTTCACATTATTGTTCCGTTTTGTATCCCCTGAAACCATGTTCTTAAAAGACTACAGGTGTTATCAGACAAGGCACAGGTTAAAATGTTTAAGTACTTGCCTATAAAATGTACCTTGCGTATACAATATATTTGAGCGCAATGAAGGAATAAACTTCCTGAAGGAGTAATATTTGCTTACAGAAATATCAAATCAATGAAAGCAAACTTGTATGCGTTGTCGTTACCCTCTCATCGTAAAGTCATTTTTATCTTTTCGGAACCTGTTCAGTGGCCCAAATTTGACCATATATTTCCGGCTGGCCTGCAACATATTCATTCGAGTGAGCACCGACGACACGAGGAATGCGATCAAGAGTGCCCTCAGTGAGGCGATCGAGAAGAAACCGGAGAGTCTGATGAAGCAACTCAACGTCGCCTCTGTTGATGTCAATTTTAAAGGTCAGTTTGATAGAGGCCAAAGTCCTTTTGATTTCAGAGGCTGTACTGTTATGGATTACATACTCATACTACGTCTCGTTTCTGGGGATAGTTTATAGGCTCGGTGTGGAAAAGAAATATGCCTATGCACGTCATGGAGTGTTTTTGAATGCTATGACTATAACAATATATTTCTATATTTAAAACAAATAACTAGTCTTCCCCGAATGGCTGGTCCGTACGCTCGTAACCCGAGGTCGATTTCCCACATGGACACAATACATATTATATTCTACTCAACCTTTGATAGGGATTGTGTAATTATTCCACGATACACCAAACTGATTCCTTTGAACATGTGTGTGTAAACAGTACGAACAATAATTCAGTATTAGTAACACAATTTGACCAGTGTTTAATGTCTGACGGCTGACATGGTTCGTGTTTTTTGTCCTCAGCTCCAATGTTCTGCAAGCCCGAGGTACAGACAACCAGTAAGGGTACATTTGAATGGCCTGAAGCATTAGTTGACGAGACGGAGGAGATCTTATGCCCGCATAAGACACTTGGTCGCATTCTTCTTCGAGCCTTTCGAAAATGGTAGGTCATGCTATAGAACTGATATTGTGTTGTTACTTCTAAATTAATCAAAACTGCGTCCCTAAGGCGTGCCTGAATGCCGTGATCGTTGTTTCGAATTCCAATTCGCCATGATCATGATTCTGTGTTTATTCGCATAATATCCGAGATCGTGTATGTTCACCAGAGTGGTAAAGGTCCAAGAGATGCACCACGTGGAATTCTTAGCCATGTTCAGCCGCCGGGCCGTGGTATAAGTGGGTACAATGTATGGAACCCATTGCTGGTGTCCCCCTTTTCATATTTCTGGAATCTTGCTAAAAGCTGCGTAAAACCATAACCACTCACTCACTCAACATGGATTATGTCCTCAAAAGGTCACAAACACAAATTGATCCTTGCGTCTTTCTACAACCATCGTTTGTTTTCGCCACGGCCCCTAAGAAACGTAATTACTCAGTCAATCTACCATCCAATGACACACCCTATCACTTGTTTTGTCTCCTCAACCTATATAACACATAAGTGTGATTAATTAATAATGAAACTTTCATGGATGATAAAAAAAATAATTAAAAATACTTTCAGAATTTCAAATCGATTTTTATCTTTTTGTCAAGTTACACTATTTACATGGGATTCGCTGTAATTTGATGTGCAGTTGTGTTTATGGTCACTGTGTTGTGCCCGTCGCCCTTTCATCTTGAGGCGATGGTGACTGTGTTGATGTTAGGAATTATGTTCAAAATATTCCGCACAGTTTTAACTGGAATTGTTCGTTCAACTAAGTGCGAGCCTATATATCACACACGTTAAACTTGTAGATATTACGTTAAGATGTTCAAAATAGTTCTGTGTTAAATGTTGCACTTACCCACAGTTTCAATAAAGCGTCCATGTTTCCAGACTTGCTGTACGTTCTTGCAAATCTCTCTTGCTACCACCGTCACCGCGACTACGTCTTCCACTACCTCTTCCTCAACTGTTGTTTACTTGTATTTACAATTTGAAATAGCTACAACTATATAACTACATAAACTACGTTTAATTTTTCAGCGTCAAAGTTAATGACAGGGCGATTTGGATGGATTCCAATCTAGAAGCATGCCCGTTCGCAAGCAACGTCACAAGACGGCTGGAAGACCTCACCACAGAAGAAATAACGAATGGTGGGTATTGACTGCCGGGTTTACTTTGTTCTTGTGAATATAATGAAGCGTAACTCGAAGGAGCCTGTGGAAACTACCCAATTAGTTCATTTTATCAGAAGTATAATGTCCATTCCCATTTGTTTTGTGACATCTCACTTATAAGGAAACGTATACTCGGAATTTTGTCACAGGACAACAGTGAGTGAGTGAGTGAGTCGATTTTGACGCTGCTTTGAACAGTATTCCAGTTATATCACGGCGTGACAGCTTACTGAGAGAGGAAAGCCTGAAGTTAAGCTGGCTTCAGACGTTTGGTGAAACCCACGAGCACAGGTATGGCGGTTGCTGTGTCACGGTTTCTAACTAACGATTACCCCACCTTTGCTAGATTAACGTCTCACCCACAGAGGAGCCGACTCACCCACCTGTTACGTTACCAGCCTTTGTCTGTACAGCTGGAAAACGACTCCGATAGGGGTTAAACCCACTCACATTTAGCTTTGGGAGACAAGGTATTTTTCTTTCCTATTTTTTTTTTGTGAGTGTGTAGAAGGGCGGTGTCACTCGGGTGAGTTTGAAATTTAAGCATGATCAGGATCCGCTTGTCAAATATCCGAATCGCAGATTCGGCACATGCGATGGCATAACTAACAACCCACTCACTCACTCACTGAACTCGTATTTTCAGACAACGTCCTGGAGGTCTCCAAAGAATTGCAGATGATAACGTCTGGAGCTGCCAACTTCACACAAACTGATGTGAACTTCGCAGTGAACATTGTGGAGGGAATTGTCAATCTGGAGAGCTCTCTCAATTCCAGGGAGGTCATCAACAACACTCTAGCATCGGTCAGCTACATCATCGTCGTACCACGCGAGGTGCTCCTGGAGGCGGAACAGAAGAAACAAGCTACTACAAGGTAAAATGCATTACAAGATAACTTTCATCCAAAGGTTCAACACGGCGAAAAGACACCTACCTACCTATTGCTGCAAGTACTTACACTGCCATAATGCCACGTGTGTAATTAAGAAGGTAAAACAAATTTCAATTTGCATGTGGTACCTTCAGAATCAGGACTGAGAATATGGCACATTTTAAATATTCATATTATATCAATGTCAACAGTATCACAATCATGGTGATATACATGATACTGCTGACATTGATATATCTAGAGTGGTAAAGTTATTATAATAATGTTTTTTTCATAATTAATCTTTTCAAAGTAATAGTTACATTGTTGTAATACTATTTCATAATGAACTATAGATCAGTGGAGACATGCAGATATTGTTAAATTTGATAACCAAAAACGTTGTGAGTCCGTTTGTTATTTTTAACCATGGACCATGCTTCACTATGACACATGCTTGATATATCGAGCGCTCTAGGACAGGTAAACCAGTCTAGGACAGAGCGTGTCTCCCTGTTATGATTGTTGACGAATTACATAAACTTGTTTAGTGTAATAATTTACAGTTAGGAATGTTTCATATAAAGTATTTTAATAAATATTTTTGTATTCGTATGTACGCATATCATTATACATATGTGAGACAAAGATAAACTTTCTTTAAAAGTTTTTTACATCTTTCCAACTGTGACTCATGCCCGTGTTACTTTCTCCAACCAAAAACAATAAGGCGCGGCATCTGGCGCCGTGCAGTAACTGCTTAAACACGCATACATAGTCTCCTTTCTGCAGATTGATATCATCTGTGAACAAGGTGACAACGTCGTCATCTCTGGGTGACGGGGATCTTCTGATAGTCCAACCCAACATTGCCGTGGCTGCCGTCAGCATCGACCCAAGAAACTTTTCTGGGGTTTCTTTCACCACGGATTCGTCAAAATCTGGCGGTGACACGCTCGCTGGCGAAACGGTAGGGTGGCTTCATATTTTATTTTATTTTCACGTCTTTTATCACAAGATCGCCACAAGCCATTTCTAAGGATGATTATGTTTGAGAATTGAAATTAATGAAAAACAGTGAGGATAAGTTGGTCTTCGACCAAGCCATAATTTATTGAAAGCCCTATAAACGGTATTGATCTTTGTTTCTTCATTTTTGTTTGAAAGGTTGAGATCAGAAAGGGAAACATCCCTCAACAACAAGACCAAACAATGGCGACAATTGTGCTTCCCGACGGTCTTTTCGCTTCTCTACCACCTGGGGACATGACCAAAGCAAACAGGGTTATATTTGCTGTATATCCGACAGATAAATTGTTTTCTGTGAGTGTATATGTAGCTGATTCAACATGCACAATCGTATCGCAGTTTGAAATATATTGATATATGTATAGCGCTCCCGAGCACTATGGTTGTAAATATGATGAATTTTTCTATGTTCGTTTAACATTCAACATTCGCTGTGTGCATACACATTAAAAACTATATATTCTACGTGATATATTTATTCATCATGGACATCCGCATTCTACTATCAGTTATACTCAAAAGTTCTGTGCCTAGTTAGGAACGTTTTTAGTACACCCTAATATTAACAGTTTGCATGTATTAAGTACAATACTATCCATGCATACAGACTGCATTTGGGCCAAATACACAGCCAGGCAGCATATTTTACAGGCATCCAAGTGTCTAGGTATTCTCTGTTGATGAAAATGGACAAAGTAGGCTACCGCGTTACATGCAGACATGGTTCCAAACGAAGCGAATTGGCCCAAGATGATTTTCATTGGTCAAAGATATTTCAAACTGAATAGTCGAGAATGGTATAATGCATATCTATGTATGTCAACATTCAACATTCAACCGAATACGTATATTCATCAACATATCTATATAAGATGTTATGGTCCTTTTTGTGCACGGTGCATACTCATTGTGGGTGAGTTAAAATTTAACGGTATTCTTTCATCCATATAGCGACTTCTCATTGTGAATGTCCACTTTATGTCACTAACGAAATGTGTAATATATTCAAAACAATCACGTTCGATTTGCGTCACTCTTATCTAAAGGTATTTGAAAAGGCTCGCCAAGGCCCAAGTGTCAATCCAACCGGAAGAGCAGGGGGTGATGGGAGTGTGGCTCCATCTTTACCAGCCTCTAACGGTGGTTCTAGCATAGCGACTAAAGATGGCGGTGATTTGACGGTGATTGATGGGGCGCAAGGTAAAGTGACAACGATGATAAATAGCAAGATCATCTCTGCAAGCGTCCCAAACGTCATCATCGCCAATCTCACCGACCCCGTCATCATACATCTGCCACATCTCAAGAAGGTAGGACATCGTCATATGGTCTTCTGAAGTAATGTTTGCATATGGTACAACGATACGAAAATACAACTCTAGATATATGATATACGGTTGTTATTATATTAGATTAGGACTATCGCAAAATAAAAGGGCCCCTTTGCACAAATAGATCTCAGTGCTGCATTTATGTGAATTGAACAGTGAAGTTGAGCTCGTCTTCGAACCGCCCCAGAACTTATACCATGCGTTTCTCTCCATACATACACGCTTTATACATGTGTTCGTGAGTACACTTTGTCATATATTTTTCAAATGTTGACGATTGTAAACTACATATGCAGTGTATAGCACCTGATTGTATTTTGTCTCAAATATTGCCTCGATGTCTTTTGGGGTGTGCACAGAACGCTGTCAACCCCCGGTGTGTGTTCTGGCGAGACAACGGCGCAGGCTGGTCGACAGATGGGTGTGAGGTGAAGGAAGATGTCAAGGACAGCTACACAACCTGTGCATGTAACCACCTCACTAACTTCGCGCTGCTTATGGTGAGTCATACGGGGAGTAGTATTTTCACAATGGTGTTTCTTGTCTTCTTCGGCGGATGATAGAAGCTTGTCAAAAATATTTTCTCTGGCGTTGGCATTATATATTTACACATACGGGGGCGATGGGTAGCTGGTGGTTCTAGCGTTCAATCGTCACAGCCAAGACCCGAATTCAAAAACCCTCGGGTGTTCCCAGCCGGGATATTGCTGAACCATACATACTTGCATACTTTTACCAAATACATGCAACTGCAAGCGTACCTCATACATTATCAGAAATACGATAATCTTCAATGCGTTGCATCTAGGTATCACAAGCATGGCAAGTATTTCTACCCTATGATAATGTATGCCGACATACAGCTGAAAAATGTTGGATGCATCACGTTATATATTTCAGAATGAATATCAAACATTACAAGATAAACACGAAACTTTTCAGGACATATATGATACATCTTGGATGCACGTTTTTTAGCATTTATTTGATCCATTTCAGTATCACGTGATACCATTCATGATAGACTATGATACTAAATTTCAGAACTCTCATGACACATTCCCGAATACATATACGTTTCAGGATTCAACCATGAAACATGTATGTACGTATATACGTGTGTATATTATGTCAGGCTGACTACCATACAATTCAGGATAGATGTGATACAATTAAGGACACTGATGGTATTGATAGGATATTGATGGTACATTTCAGGATGTTTATGAAAGAGGTGCTGATGTATCTGAAGCTGACCGCGTGGCCCTCTCCCTCATCTCCTACATCGGATGTGGCATCTCTCTGCTGTGCCTGCTGCTGACGCTGCTCACCTACTTCATGTTCAGGTGAGCTGCGACAAAAAGTGAGTGAGTGAGTTGGGTTTAACGCCGCTTTTAACAGTATTCTAGTTATATCGCGGCGTGCCAGCTTAATGTGGGAGGAAAGCCCGAAGTGATGCAGGTCTCAGACGTTTATTTACCTCATCGGTGAAACCCACGAGCACGGGTATGCCCCTGAATTAATTTGAAGGCTTCAAGTTATACATATTATAATTCGTTTTTATATATATTTCCATTAGTTGCATGTTAAAAATAGATTGGCAACATTGGTACTACAATTTCCAGTTATGCTTCTTTGCTTCTTCGACTAGTGAACACTCATTACGGTAGCGAATGATCTATTATCGGCGCAGATTAGCAAATCAGCATCGGATTTCGGGGCACAGGATGTATGCCCTCTTATTATGGACTGTATTAAGTATTTAGTGGCATCGAGTTAACTCCAGGAAATGTACTAATTGTCATTGTATATCCCAGAAATAGACATCCTAATTAACGTATGTAATTCTACAGCCTCAGATTTCAGGCTTTTCAAATATGATATTACAATTATTTTTCTTGTTACATAACAGTCACTTTTATTCATAGACTGACGAGACAACATGTATATTTACGATAGAGACATAACGAGTGAAAATGACAACTTTTTCAGCAACCATGTTATTTGACAAAACTTCTGTTTATTATGGGTTTTCTCGCTAATCGTACCTGTTGAGAACCACTGTGTACATGAGTCAGACTAACAGTGTTATTTCATCGAACATCGAGAAACATCAATTGTATATTTTCGTTTCTTTGATAGGCTCTTGAAAGTTGGAGTACTAAGTAAGGAGAAGATTTATGGATGAACAATTTCTTTATTACAATTAAGAGCGACGTTTCGGTGTAAGTTCTAACAACGTTATCAAGGAAGTGATATACAGAGTACTGCCTCCTACCTGTATATATACTCGTCAACCATGTTCTGTATATCACTCGTAAAACCATACTCACTCACTTACTCACTCTGTATATCACTAGCTATTAAATTTGTCCGAGTCCCTATATTTCTAATGTTGATAAACAAAGATTGTCTTATTAAAGAATATTTTTTACATTCAAGAAAATAGTGAAAAGCATTTTCCCACGGGGAACCGCAAGAGCAAGAAATAGTGTCTGACAAATTAACCCTAAATAAATCATCATTTTGATTGCTACATCTATGTCTGAGTCTTGTGTGGATAATATTAATTTGACGCTTTCCATAACTGAAATAATATGGAGATTTGATAACGTTTGGATATTTTTTTGTTTTTAATTCAGCTACAGAGATACTATTTTTAATATTTTCATTTTGTGAATTCCATTGTTTTAAAGAGTCTACTTCTGAAATGTAATTGTTCTGGCAAAAGGTACAGTCATGTTATGTTTGTTACGTAGGTTATAATTTGAAGCAGCTGATCTGTTATGAGGTAACAAATCATTTAGATATGAGGGACATTCATTTATTATTATTTTGTGCACTGTCGTGAGTTTTTGGGGGTTTTCTCGTCTCTCTTTAAGTGGTAGCCAGCCGGTTTCGAAATATAAAATTTCTCTCGAGGTACATTTGGTCAAACCTGTAACAAATCTGGCAGCGACAAGTTGTATTAATTCAAGTTTATTTTCGCTATAAGCAGAACAGTTGTCCCATACTTCCGATGAATATTCCAGAATAGGAATTTTAAATGTCAGATAGATTGTTGACAGATTATCATCTATTTAATTTATATTTAAGTTTACGCATAGCTGAAACCATTTTCGCTGTTGGCTTAGCAATAATTGAAACATGTGCAGTCCATTTCGTATCTTGAGATAATGTGAGCCCCAGATGTTTGTGAGTTTCAACATGTTCAATGGCACTGATAGTATAACAAATAGTTGGATAATACCGTTCGTGTTTGTGACTAAAAAGCATGTAAAGCCATGTGCTTGCCCACTGATGGAGAGAGAGAAGGTCTTGATTTAGTGTGTCTTCAATTACGACCATATCAGTAGATAAAGATCCTATACATGTATCGTCGGCGAATAACCTAGTAATATTTTGAAGCTGATCAGTAATATCATTTATGTAAACTAGAAATAGGAACGGCCCCAGCATAGAGCCCTGTGGGACCCCTGCTTTAGTGAATTTTTTACTTGATAAACTACCATTAACAAGGGGCGATTTCTCACTGACAATGCTTTCATTGCAGCAAGAGGTATATGTAATTGAATTCAATTCAATATATTCATAGTAATGACGTAGACATTATGAAACATGCAACATAATCCCTGTTTGGTGTTTTTGTGTTGACATGAATGTTTATAAATAAAGTATTAAACGTATTTCCTCATTATTGGCTGGGCCCAGCCAGTTTTATAAAGTGATCTTAGATCTTTAACTATCGTAAATCTTTTATATGTCATTGGAAGTCGAAAGATCGTTTTCCTGAACAGAACAAAACAATTATAGAAATATTCCTCTGCAGTAGATTCATCATGATTAATTTGACTGTTTTGTCCACAGGAAACTGCGCCGGGATAACCCTTCTAAGATCCTGGTTAACCTGTGTATTGCTCTTGCTGTGACCAATCTCATATTTCTTGTGGGCATGCAAGACTATACCTTCAAGAACACGATAGCATGCAAGGTAATGGATTGTCATAGTACATCATTATGCACGAACTAATTCATGGTATGGAGTGAGTGAATGTGGTTTTACGCCGTTTTTTGTGCAATATTCCATCACAATCACGACGGGGGGACACTGTAGTACTGTATTATTCTAGTCAAAACACGGCGGTGTTAAGCTGAGGATGGAGCATCGAACATTGTGTGACGAGCCAACGCTTTCGCCACCTCCGTTGTTCATGTATCGGGGGGGCGGTTGGGTAGCCTAGTGGTTAAAGCGTTCGCTCGTCACGCCGAAGACCCGAGTTCGATTCCCGACATGGGTACAATGTGTGAAGCCCATTTCTGGTGTCCCCCGCCGTTCTCACTCACTCATGTATCGATATTATATGAGAGTTAATTATGTCGACATCACTTGCACTTTTGTAACCTGAATGATAAAATATTACTGGCGAAAATGCGGGAATGATTCAGTATACATTTCATGAAAATGAATTGAATGGTCAAAAATACCATCCTTGGTAACGAGTGCATGTTGTTTGACATCGCAGTATAAAGAAACTGACGTGACTGTAGGAAAAGGACATGTTTGTCTTGTAGAAAAGACCACATCCTATGTTTTGTTTGTTTGTTGTTTAACGCCGCACTCAGCAATAGTCCAGCTATATGACGGCGGTCTGTAAATAATCGAGTCTAGATCAGACAATCTAGTGATTGACATGCGCATCGATCTACGCAATAGGGATACGTTGACATGCATCGACCAAGCCAGCGAGTTAGTCGCCTTTTACGGCAAGCGATGTTTGCTGTCATCGTGTGTAATATTCTACATCCTGACTAACAGTTATATGTGTCAGAATCCGAAATTGACATGAAATCCTGCCCCACATGTTGCTGTTTAATGGGAGTATGTTCTTAGGAAAACTGATCGTCATGAACATGTTGGCGTTTGCGTTGTAGGCAGTGGCAGTGATGTTGCACTACTTCATGTTGTCGGCGTTGACGTGGATGGCGGTAGAAGCGTTCTACATGTATCTGGCACTGGTTGTTGTCTTCAAAACATATTTCACAAACTTCATACTAAAGTGTTGCTTCATTGGCTGGGGTAAGTGTATTATCTGTACAAATGTCTGCCTCGCTTACTTCTTACCTCCATACGACATTTGCATTTGTAAAATAATCATAAAGATCTCTCAGTGTGTTGCTTGGGGTTTGGAGACCCAGTCTGTCCCTGTTTCACGTACAATTAATATTCTACATAAGTTCATTATTATACCATTGGTCACATTGCTCAGAGGTTTATGTACATCCTTATTCCCTAAAGTGTATTAATGCTGTATGTGTAATCACACCTGTAGATCTGCATCTGTTATCACTACAGGCTATCAGTTTGAACCAGCCTCTGTAAAGGTATGCACTGGGGTCGTCTCAGTACAACAGGTCCTGCCATCATGTGACCTGAGCTTCGTTCCGAAAACGATCTTAGTATTATGACCACCATACTACGATGTAAAGTAGAGGATACAGTCAACATAACCTGTCAGCGTTGTTTGTTGCTCACGCTGGTTTGTCTAGGCCAGGGTTTCCGTACAAAACAACCTTAGCACTACGACTGTCGTATGTTAAGGTATGGGAGTTACGATCACCTTAGCGCTAAGATCGCTTTGTACAACACCACCCAGGTCGTCGTGATGTAGCTTATCCTAATGTTAATATTTACTTAAGAGCAATTCACTTTCCCATTCAACGTTCTCAACCATGTCCTAGGAACATGACCATTTGCTCTATATGTTATTAACTTTTTAAAGTTTAAATTACTTTTCGATAATGGTCCCAAGCTTGGCATTCCTGTTTCACAATACGGAGATACTCATGATTATTGTTCAAAGAACGTAATTATGGTCTGTCGTTATTTACCGACAGACATATGTTGCAGGTTTCCATCATAAACATATTTATTTATGGAAACCAAAGATGGTTGTAAATAATGCAGCACTGTTAATTAAACGATTCAATTTGTTGTTTTCTGTGATACAGGCCTTCCCCTTGTAGTAGTGGCGATCACCCTGGGAATCAACGAAACTGAGAACTATGGGGAGCTTGCTTCCGGGATGTAAGTTGGTGTCATGCATATTATACAACGAAACATAACCAATCAGGACAGTACAGTCCAAGGAACAAAGACCCTGAAACAAAAATATATGAAAAAGCCAAACCAATCAGTGACCAAACAAATCTGCAATACAAGTCTAGATTTCTTCAATATCTGAAAATGAAGATTTGTCAGCTGCCGAATTCTGGGCAAGTTTTGGAAAACCTACCAGGAGATAACATCGATGTCCTTGTGTAGATACAGAAACCTATCATGGGCAACGTGGCAATTATCCCTTTAACCATTAAACTGCATACACATGATTAGTTACCCTTTTATCACCGAGTACCCTACATCAAAGGAAAATATGTTGTTTTTAAGTTGTCTTTGATTGTATCATTGGTTGTATCATTTCATATCTCCAGTTGCTGGATCAGGAACCCGGCCTTCTATGCTGCATTCCTAGCCCCAGTCGCCGTCATCTTGCTGATCAACTTCGCCGCCTTTGGTCTGGTTTTGCGTCAGATTCTTGGTCTTTCTAGCCGGAAGTTGAACAAGTCGGACAAAACCAGCACTATGACACAGCTGCGAGGGGCGATGGGAGTGGTCATCCTTCTTGGTCTCACTTGGGTGTTTGCGGTCTTTGCCATCGACCGTGCCAGCGTTGTCTTCTACTACCTGTTTGCCATTACAAATTCCCTTCAGGGGCTTTTTATTTTTATATTTTACTGCTTATTCAAGAAGGATGCGCTTTCAGCATGGAGACGAAAGTTACCATGTTGCGAAACTATGGACGAAAAATCCGGAGACCGCTCTTCAAGCAAAGGTGAGTTTGTAGTTTTCGGATCGCAGTGTTTCTTGCTAAACGCTAAAATCCAACCTGAATATTAAGATTATATTACTTCAGCTTATTTGAAATGTGATCAACATTATTGGTATATGTTTTTGTGAACTTTATAATATTAAATCAGTTAAGAACGTTAATTCATGAATTTATCAACAATATATTCTAACATGCCTTTTGATGCTTTCTCTTTGCATCAGCTCACGACTTAGTTTTCTACCCAGAGCGAATGTTTCCTTCTCGCTTGTATTATACTGCATATAGTAGTGCTGTCGAACTAGAAGACACTAACCACCTTGGAGTAGTTGAGTATAAGCATATATCCACCTGATGTCCTGTTGCCTGATGGGGTGAAGCTGAGCATGAGGAGTAGTTCAGCCATGGATACACACGTTCTATACAAGCAGCATACTCATTACTGTTAAATGTGCAAGATAAGATTTTACACGTTGTTTTATTGCAACTAATTTCATATTGGGGAACAAACTGACATGTCCAAGCGATACAAGGCTTCGGGAAATATGCGCAATCCAAAAGCAGTGACGTCACGATCAATGGCGAAGCTCGGTGGAAGGGATTAGGATGTATTTAGCCTTTAAAACATAACAATTGAACTAATTACGTGTACAGCCGACATACTTCTTCACCAGATTAAGCGAAAATCAAAGGCTCTAGAATAACAATGCAAATCTAATCTTGCACACGTAACTTATTCATATTTTAACGCATATGTATGAAGAGGCTTACCAATATATATAATTTATTATATATATGTATATATATAATGAGACATAGAAGCGTGCTCGTTATTATCGTTAATGAATTCTGAAAGATGATATTGCTACTTAACCTTTCAGATCATGACTTGTTTGGTTGGCTCAAATCCACACGTACTAGTGCAACTAGTCTACCGCCCACATATCAGGTTAATCAGGCTGTCGATAGTGTTGAAACATAGCACGTAGGGAAAATCGTTATCTACAGACTAGAACACTGTACACAGTACTGATAGTAAGAAAACGTGTTCTCCTTTATGAACATTATGAATATATTTATGGAACAGTATATGAGCTGTTTTGGAAAAGTTTTGTAATCTACAGTTACCTAGCTTGACAGTATTAGTTTTAGTTATAAAGTATAGTGTTGCTAGCTTCTGTGCCTTGTTTTTATGTCCCCTTTGCATTGACAGGCCTCGTTGATATTACCTTTCGGTACCAGTTGTTGGGACGAAATGTCTTCATTTCTATATGTTTAAGCAAATATGGCTGATGCCATTTATTCTCAGATTTATTTATTTGCCTCCGTCGTGGTATAGGTGTAATGTTGTTGACTGAGGCTTAAAATAACACACTGACGACGAAACAAGGCGATAAGTACGAGTATGTAATTCATATAATGATGGAAAAGTCTTCCCATGACATAATACTGGTTAGTGTGAGTATTGATTCACCTTTAATTTTAACTGATACAAATGTAGTCCTCTGTAAGCTACTCTAATGATAATGGGATAATACTATGTGCGTTGTTTGATTCGCCGCTGATGGCGACTGCAAGAGGTGAGGTGGGGTGAGGTGAGGTGAAATGGGTTTAACGCCGCGTTCAAGATTATTTCGCTTATATTGCGTGCGCCTGTGTGAGGCTGCTTGTACTAGTCCGGATTGTGGCGTTGTTTTAGTTCTAGCACACTGAGCTACCATGCCGTAAGTTACCACGGATATCCTACTCAGACACATTATATAAATTCCGAGCCCATCAATCCTTGTAAAGCCCCTTAAGGCCAGGCAGGTTAACAACATGTACCATGTTTAAACTTCTTTTGGTGAGATGTACGACCGCTGTGTGAAAATGACCAGTTCGGCACTCGCGTAAGAAATTATAATTCTAAGGTCTATTTGGGGTGACAAATTAGTTCGCTTTTAAAGTTGATTCGTTAAACAGATTCCTGTGAATTTCGTATAATAAAATATTGTATAGTTGGTTGGTTGTTTAACGCCGCACTCAGCAATATTCCAGCTATATGACGGCGGTCTGTAAATAATCGAGTCTGGACCATACAGTCTAGTGATCGATATCATGAGCATCGATCTACGCAACTGGGATCGATGATATTGATGTATGGTCAAGTGATGAGAGGTTTGTAATGGTCCGTTGTATCAGTTTGTACGTTATAACCGTTTTCGTAGAAGCATTTTCTAAAGTTTATAACAGTCAGTTGTAAAACAAATACAAGAACAAGTTCTTAATGATATACCAACATCTTTGCACTTGGTACGTGAGGATTCGGAGTCTTCCAACCTCTGCCACAGTGCGGTGATCACCAACCATGACGGGTATTCCATCTTACCGCTTCACTGACAAAATCATTTGGTTAAGGGCCCCCTCTTGAGTATTGGATGTAGGTCCCCACCCTCCACCCACCATGTCTTTTTGTTTCAACATATTCCGATTTATTGTTTCATTTTTTATCTTCCCGGAGATTCCTTTATTCCTTTTGGGGGCGAATATTAGTAAAGATGTAGATAATTTACATCATATTGACAGCTGACACATTTCAGTAACGTCACAATGGTGATGTGGGTTTTTACCAGGACTAGTTTTATTTCATCTTTACTAGACTGTTTAGATAGGCATGCTGTAGACTTGGGTGCTTTGACAACTATACTTTGTAGACTAGAATGTTTTCACAACACGTTTTGTAGACAAGCTGTTCACAGCTGCTGTTTAGACCAGAATGCTTTGATCACGCGTTAATCAATCTTCTCCATTGCTTTATTCAATCTAGTACGTACTTTGCACACATAGTATTGTATTACAAGGAATAGATTTAAATTCACTCCTCGGGGTAAATGCAACCGTCAAGTAAATATGCCTCTATTCATTAATAAAACTAGTTTGAACACAGGTTAGCCTGATACCTGATTATACACCTTCAGCTTGCACACGGACTAGTGTGTCACTGACTAGCGAATCACGAATGACTCGTCTTGGATTTTCTATTCCTTTCAAGGGTCATCGCTATAATTTAACGCTTATGTAGTCTATGACGTAGATAGCAAACACGATGACTTGGAATTCTTCTGTAGAAGTATGCTTATCACTACTGGCTCGGGGCGGTAGGGTAGCCTAGTGGTTAAGGCGTTCGCTCGTCACGCCGAAGACCCGGGTTCGATTCCCTACATGGGTACAATGTGTGAAGCCCATTTCTGGTGTCCCCCGCCGTGATATTGCTGGAATATTGCTAAAAGCGGCGTAAAATCATACTCACTCACTCACTCACTACTGGCTCGACAAAGTGACAATTCTAAAAATCATTTCAGCGGAAAGAACGCAATTTCATGTGGATAAAACGCACGATCAAGATCAAGTAACATTATTAACATTTAAACAAGGTCAGTAACTCTGTTTTTGTTTTGACGCGGCTCACATTTTGTGATAAGAGAGAAAGGGCATGATGTATTAAAAAGCGATATGTGAAATATTTAAACTTGCCCTTTATATTTATCCTTCAGCTCGCATGAAAAGTAGCCCAGGTGACATTTAATTCGTCCTATTATTGTCCGTGTGTAACACCTAACTTGAATTTTGTTGTTATTGTGGTGCTGGTTTTGTAGTCTGAAACATTCCAGGGAGTCTGTCTTGTATGGTTCTAATTTCATGCTGTTGAAAGCAAAGCATGTTCAGTGTCACTAATTTCAACACAGGGTGTGAAGTAAACCATATCGCCCTCATCGTTGCAATGTCGTTAGCTTCCTGTTTCATCGACTCTTCTTTGAGTAGAGATTTCTTACTGATTGTTCTCTAGCATTGACGCTTTATGTTTATGACTACAGTGAGGGTGTTGTCGCTTTATGTTTATGACTACAGTGAGGGTGTTGTCGCTTTATGTTTATGACTACAGTGAGGGTGTTGTCGCTTTATCTATCGAGGTGGTGTGTACAATGCATGATCTAGGTCGGTGGGGCTGAACCATACAGCAGATTTAACTGTGTTGTTGGATTTTGGTTTTTAATCACAGATCTCTGTACACACTTACACACTCATTTTTTACACTTTCTGTGATGTGTCTGAGTGATTTTATGTGCGACTCCTTTACGTTTTCGTCCAAATGTTCCATGTGAATGTGTGAAAACGTTTGCACGATACGTTCATGTAAATGTGTGAAACCGTTTGCCCGATACGTCCATGTGAATGTGTGAAACCGTTTGCACGATGTTTGTGAAACTTTTGTTTCTACTTTACTATTCTAATTGTCTGTAATACGCAGCGTGGACCTCTGTGATACAGTTTTTTTAACCATTCACTGATTGTTTCTCTTTCTGTGGAATTGTTAAAAGTGTAAGAAAGAGTTCTTATAATTCGCATAGATCGATACATAATGGCGTTACATATAATCCTTTCGTCGGAATTAACCATATCTGCAACATGTTTACATATGAAGCACACTTACGTTTCTTCATATAAAACTGATTGTTGTTTTGTTGGGGTTTTTTTAACTTTTTCTGGAGAATAAACATGCACTGTATTTATTATCTTCAGGCTACACGACCCCTGTCTCAAACAACACAGTAAAACACTCGATGTCGACGACGAATAGTTCACCTAACAGCAACAATGACGCCAAAATCAAAAGTGAGAAACTCCGGCAAGCGTCAATAAAATGTTCTCTATCGTACATTAAAGGCACATAACTCTTTCACTGACGCGTCGACATTCAACAAAGCCATGCCATCAATCGGGTTCGAAACATGTTAATTGTAACTATTTTGTGCAGTTACATTTTGTAATCAATGAATGAAAAGATAATTACAATTATTATTTTTTATATGCATAGAACCAAATGTTTCTACTCTGCACATGTTGACATTGTGTTGATTTTATTGTGTGTTTTTTTCAGAAAGGGCAATGCTATCATCGGATAGTGGTTTCCATAGCAGCGGGGGAGATGAAAACACTCGTTCATCTACATCCATCTAATCTGCCAGAATGTACAGACTACCCAGAAACTTTATCCACGATCTCACCGAGCTAATGCGTTTAGTTCTATAGTATATATTTATTATGCACGACCCAAACTTGCCCTTTTCAGCAGATCCAGGGATATGTTAGCAGTGTCTGGACGTATTCCGAATATGGTACTTGTGTATACGCTAACAGGTTTGCCTTTATGTATGGACATAAGATATGGATGTACCAGCTATAATGCAGTATCTTCCCCATTGTCCATTCACTACAGCCAGTTTCAGGACATGAGCGTGATTGCTACACAAAGTGTGTATGATTTTGTTTGAGAGCTAATGGTGACGACAGTTAAAACTATACTTCGACTTTGGATTCAGTTATGTGTTTGAAATAGAAAGCAACTGCTGCACAAGACGCAACAGACAGCTTGTTCTTCCTCCCCAGTGGTGAATAGCACCACACGGTGTACCGGTGATGTGATGTGGTGTCACAAAATGAATGTTACCAAAACGAATCACTGGCGATGTGTATATTAATATGAAGTGAAAACTGCAATTGGGTTTTTTTGGGGGGGGCCGATATTAAGAAGGTCCTTACCTAATCAACCACACACAGACGTAGCTCCGTGAATATTCTGCATTGTACTAAATGAATAGCCCCAGCAAGGGTTATTGGATGTAATTATTATCAAGTGGTGGCTATGACTGTCAATGACATTACGAATGTTTCTGCAACTGTGCGTCACAACATTTCTATTGTAATGTCAATATTCACAAAATATAATGGGTCTTTCATGACAATATTACCATCAGGTTTGAAGTAAATGTTCAAACATGAATCTCCAACATTGACGTGTTATTCAAAGGTGCCAAGCATATTGTTCATGTCATGGCCATACCTTAATCAGGTGGCGTCTGATATTGGGTGAGAGTGTCCAGACACAACACACATTCGTAACACAAGATAATATGAGAACAATTCTGAAGAATTCCTATGTGTACCAATGCCGACTCTTACACACATGTCCATTTGGCGTGAAGGTAAAAATAGCTGTGGAAATTATACGAATGGACCACTGAACATCAATGATGACACCAGGTGTTCGCGAAAAGGGTAAGCATGCCCCGCCCTTTCGGTAGCACCCGCCATTCATACAATTTGTATTTTTTATTATTTTTTTATTTATTGCCTGACGCCGCACATCAGTACTCCTGCCTAAAGCACGTTTGGGCTTTAAAGGCGTTCGTTAGAAATATTGTTTCTAGTGCGCTACGTGTTTCGTTATATTTCACAGAAATAGATATATCCGAAACATTCCAAGCAAGTCAACAATGCTTTTGCAAATCTAGATTTCCTCAGTTGCAGGAAATCATTTCTTTATAACTAACAATTTACCTAAACCTGTCTTAAAATCTTTCACAGACATGTCGGATTATGTTTGTATTTACAAATGTTCTCACAATAAGGTAGTTTGAACACCAGGATTTCTAAATATCTAAACTGTGTCAATTATATATGAGCAGCACTTTCATATGTTTGATTTGGTGGACTGAAGCTAGCTGTACCAACCAGAATTACAGCTGAAGCACGCGTATATTGTTTATGCGTCTGTCATGAATTTAAAGTTAAGATTATTAAAATCATAAAGAGTTAAGATTTGTAATCTCTGATACACGATAATATACATCGGCTTATATTGACAACCAAATAGAAATAATTATGTATTCGTTTTAAATATTGTCTTTTTAATTGTAAATATATCCTCTTGTTCAATGCTTATATATCTTTATATATCTTTATATATATATAAAGACATTTTCGAAACTTTATTCTGATTGCATAATTATATCTTTCATGTTTGCTCAAAATGCCGTTCATTTGTGAAATATATTCTCAGGCTACATTAAGGGCTACTATTTGGTGCTAGTTAATCGCATACACATAACAACTATTCACCTAAAGACGAGAACAATAAGTTTAAGGGTAGGTATCCAGACCATTTCCTGATGTGTAGCTCTGTTTGTGATTACAGTTGTTTCACACGACTTGCTTCCTTTATTTACACCCTCCGTGACGTATGTCAGGCTTATTAACACCAAAGATGGTTGGTGATATGATTGATTAGTTTGTCTGACCTGTTGCTTTATAAACTCTTGTAGCGGTTCGACCATCCTAGTGAGCGCCCCACAATACAGTGTAGAGTTGTGTCCTTTAGTTACAAGGACACGTCAAGATTATGAGTGAGTGAGTGAGTATGGTTTTACGCCGCTTTTAGCAATATTCCTGCAATATCACGGCGGGGGACACCGTAAATGAGCTTCACACAGTGTACCCATGTGGGGAATCGAACCGGGTCATCGGCGGGACGAGCGAACGCTTTAACCACTAGACTATCCCACCGCCCCTCTAGGTTATGATCTTTGGTTGGTCAACATTCCGGGATTGGTCCCCAGCAACCTCTGTTTGTAAGAGGCGAAAACATGGTGAGGTGGTCAGATTTGGTGACTAGGCTGACAGAATGTCAACGTACCCCGACAGTGTGGATCGTTCGTTGCTCTAATATCAATCACTGTCTTGTCTAGTCCAGACTCAATTATTCGCCATTAAATTTCTGGAATATTCCAAATAATTTCCGAATCTGGCTCGATACAGCAAGGTTGTCTCCCTTGTAACGTCAGAAAGCGATTTCACGACATGCCTTACTAATTTTGGCACTAAATTATCTGATGATTTTAATATGTTGACTCAAATTAACAAATCGCCATTTCATCAAAATGTTGCAAAGTAGTTTATACAATGTGAACTTTTTATCTGTATCATTTACTCTATGAATAAATAATGATTTTTGTCTGGTCTGTTCAGTAATTTATTGGGAATTCTTAATTCTTAATACAGAGAAACCTCGTAACTCCGGACCCCGATAGTCCGGACATCCACTTTTCGGAAAATTCTGTTACGGTAATTTACATTAATACATGGAATATTACTCTATGACAATGAACCATTAATCCGGATATGTGTTAGTCCACACGAATCAGTTGGAACGGTACCGTCTGGATTAACGGGGTTCTGTTGCATATACCGATACATTAAACATATATTTCTTCACTTTCCAGTTCAATCATACAGTCATGGGATATTCACATCAGTTTATACTAATACCATACCACAGTTTTCTTATTACAGACAGCAATGTTTGCATTAAAACATCAATACTTTCAGACATACACCTAAAACGGTGTTCAAATACAAAGAAAATTTCAATTTACTTCAAATAAAAAAGTAATGTGCACTGGCTGAAATCGCCTTTGTGGTAATTTTGCCGAAAAACAAGATTACATTCCAGAGCCCTTCTGTCGTCTCCACCAGAAATCGGTAGATGTTAACAGGGAGCGTATTACAATGTCCTCGGTCCTTTCCGTCATAGGAAAAGCTTATAATTCCACAAATAACCTACCATTGAGCCCAGCAATCTCTGGATTAACCCCGAACAAGCAACAAAGTGAACAGTGTCACGTCGGGGAAGCCGGTCCGACGCGTGCAGTGAAACCCATTTATTTTGTGAACATCTTGATGGCTCAATGCATCAGTGAACCCACGGAAAGGGAAACTGTAGAGAAAAGAAAAAAATAATCATAATATTCAGTCATTATTTGTGACGAAAAGAAGCGCGATGGACCCATCCCATTCAATTATGAGTGCACTTGACGTATGAAGTCTCATGAGTATGATAGAAGGCCAACGTCAAACGCAACGAGGAAACACAACCAGCTGTTTGTACGATTGTGAATGAACAATTAGGGCGAGAGTATCGGCCCACAGGAGCTCATATCCCCAATACTTGCATGTGTGAGTGGAGAATGACAAAACCTGAGGTAGTTTATGAAATCCCCCCCGACACGGTCAGGCCACCCGCTGGCCTCGTTGCCAGATCAAACACTATGCAGGTTCACTAAGTACAGCAAAGTAGCTACACGTTTATACCTTTCGTGTTTTTAGCACAATGCTATCAGTCGTTATGGCTGTACATTCTGCCACCCAGATCGCACTGCTTTGTAAGAACGCTGACTCCACGTGTCTCTACCTCACCCTCTTCTACTTTAAACCTACGCTTACCACCCATCCTCCACCAAATACGTTTATCCTAATCGACCCCACTCCCTAACTATAGAGACCCACCCGCCATGTACTCAGCAGACTCTTGCTTTCTGTGTACACTGACTTGGTTATTCGGGTATTTTTACCTTTACTCTATATCCAACCCAACCCATCAACACCCCTTCTCCTTTGTCCTTGAGTTGCCCAAATGCCTAAATACCCCCTTGACTCTACCCTCTGTTCAACACGCCACCCTGCTCATACAATTCAGAATCCTAACCAAGAAACAGGCAAAAGAAAACGCCTCCCCCCACCCCAACATAACACCCCCTCCCCTTTCAACCCCTCCCCTCTCCTCTACCTTCAGCTACGATAAATCTTACGTAGCCATTTCATCATCTTCAGCCACGTACAGCTGACAGGTGGATTTAAAATTAGGATTGGATACACTTTCTTTGAGATATGGATCTAAATTCGCTTTCGTTTACCGATCCTATATTTAACATTTTCTTTGTTGTGTCCTTTTCGGGTTGGCATCATAGCACGTGCATCTATTTTGCATGTCAAAAGGTTTGGAGGGCGAAGCTGAAAAGATTAGTGCATTTTTCTTTTGATCTGTCATTTTCATGCCATTATGCGAAACATGCAATGGGATTACCTAGCGATGATTGTCAGGGGGACACAAATATTCATTTGGAAAATAGAAAACGAGTAATTGCTTTCTGATTTATGAAATTAAATGTCTAATCATGCGCACTTTAAAGTATTCTTTTTCATTCTAATACCTTTAAATAAATTAAAAACGACACGGGATATCGGTGAGAAACAGCATGCTGTCCACAGTGTATGCGCTCCCTGTTTTCCCTGACATGTTTAAGTCGACAGTTAAAAATCGTCTCAAGAAAAACACCCTTCTGAAGAGGCGATGTGGTAGTTAAAACGTTCGATGGTCTTGTCGAATACCCAAGTTATAATTTGTGAAGCCCATTCGTGGTTTCAAAAGCAAATACTTTGGAAAACAGTTTTTTAACTTCCCTCCCTTACCAGGGACGGATCCAGGATTTATTTTAAAAGGGGGAGGGAGGTCCACTTGGGCCATTTGTAACTTCAGTCGGGGAAGGAGTCCACGCAAAAAGCCTACCCCAAAATCACGAACACGATATGTTAACTATTATTAATTTCACTTCAACAACCAAATCAACATGTCATAATGGTAGGGTTAACTTTACATGTAAAAATGGGTGTGTGGCCTCCCCACCATCGACACTGATTGTTCTCTGGCGTTGACATTATATAAAACAAGTATATCAGTAATGTGTGTGTAATACACTTAATTGTCTCTTACATATTCTCTGGCGATGATGTTTTATATTTCTAAGTACCCGAATTCTATTTACCTTGTTTTGCGCTTGCTTGACGTGTTAGAACCTACACCGAAACCTCGCTCCTAATTATAATAAAGAAGTTGTTCGTCTATATGCCATATCCTTACTTAGTACTCCAATCTCTAAATGCCTTTCAAAGACGTATGTACGAAGATGTTAACCGTGAAACAAGAATGAATAAGGTCCACGTTGCAACAGATAGTAGTTGTAGATAATCAAAACCAACCGCATACACGTCTCGCACCTCAAAGACAGTCACGAACCAGTCTAGACGGAATCACGTCTATATTGATGGTCGTAATACATTCTTTACGCTCGAGGTACTGAGCGAAACATGTTGTACGGAACCAGGGAGAATATGCGGGGGCACAGACTGGTTCGCTACGATTGAAAGGGTTGTGTGGTCTGGGCTAATTAAACATTCTTTACGGCTGTGTGGATAATGTGATAATTCGGAATTACACTGAACAGGTTCTTTTCAAAGGGAAAACAATGTTGATGATATTGCTAGTCATATATATGAAGTAGACAGGTGGTTTTAAATTGGAAGGTTGTGTGTATATGTTGAATGGAATGTAAATGTGCCAGTGTCAAGTCTCTAATTCATTGTGCGGTTTGGTTGGTCATAACATGCAAATACCCTTCATAACTCTTGGGATAACACTGTAAGTCGCACGACTGAAATAAGATCAACTATTTAAACAACGCGTATACTAATGTTTGGGATAGGGGTGGGTTGTACCTTCAGGATACTCGTATTAGGAATACTTCCATTGTTCGTGGAGTTGTTATCAGAGTTTTACGCCAGTATTTAGTTCAGCCTCTGCGTGTCAGCTTAATATGAACGGATAGCACAACGTAATACATAACTTTGATGTATACCACTTCAGTGAAACCCGCAAACACGGCTTATTACTTACAATCAGCTCGAAGGAGATTCGAAGCTACGATCATACGAGATATGAATACTAAAGAGATGCTGGATATACTCAACTTTTTCACCTGGTATCGTCATTATTTGACACACAAACACATGCTCATGATATAGTCGGAATCGTACGATCGACTCAGACCGCCGCCATACAGCTGTACTATTGCTGAGTGCGGCGTTAAACAACAAATAAACAAACAAATCCTGGTGGTGGAAAATGTCCTCCACAGCAGAAATGACTTTAACATCATTTACATAAAGACATTGAAACAGTTCTCTGTTCACGTTTTGGAAGAGTTGGAAATCGGACGGTGCCAAATCAGGTGAATACGCGGGTGTTCAATGACTTCAAAGCCACAGTTCTGCATTGCAGCCATGGCGACAACAGGTTTGTGAATAAGTGTGTCGTCCTAGTGTAACAACACACCTTTAGTAAGTTTTCGACGTTTAGCCTTGATAATCTCCCACAGTTACCGAATATTAGCCTAAAATTTGTCATTAATGGTCTGACCTTTCGGGAGCTAGTCCGACAGTAGGAATCATAGAGAACCGAAGCTTGCCAGTTGGTGGAACCAACTTTGGCTTCTTCGAAGGAAGACGCGCCAGATGTTACCACTGCGTTGTCTGTTGTAGAGTCTCTGGTTAGTAGTGGTGAACCCAATCCATGGCCACAGATCGTTCAAGACAATCTTGGACAATCTGGTTCAATACAAGCTGGGACGCAAATGCTCACAAGAGATGATAACCGAGAGCGTTTCAAGTCACGAGTCAGAAACCTTGAAATCCAACGTTCTAACATGCTCAGTTCAAGTGTCAGAATGTTCTCAAATAACTCATGAGAAATGCCTACTGTGTAGACTATGACGTGTAGTGGTTCTTCGATTATCAATAATCCTATGCAGTATTTTATCAACATTTTACTTAGTGGTGGTAGGTGAAGATCTACCTGATCTTGGATCATCTTCGTGGCTCTCTTCCCCTCCTGGACTCCGCTGCCAATCTCTTAACAGTGGCAAAGGAAGGAACATGATCCACATGGTTGGCTGTTAGAGTTGGCCGTTTCAGTATAAGATAATTGATGACAGAGCGGTAACCAATTTTGTCCATTGTCAAATATGCTGCCTGGTTGTGGATTTGGTTCAAATGCATCCTAAATTATTAAAATTATTGTATACTTATAAACTGTTAAGAGAGACTTACTGTTAAGGCTCAGAACTTTGAGACCGCCTCCGTGGTCTAGTGGTAGAGCGTCTAAAACAAGGACTAGTCGGCTCGGAGTCAGTATACTGTGTCTGAGTGGGGTAGTACAAGCAGTCACACACACACACACACACACACACACACACACACACACACACACACACACACACACACACACACACACACACACACACACACGTGCATGCACGTCGCTAAATAAGTGCAATAATCTTG